GATAAAATAGGGGATGTAAATTTGTATAAAACTTTGTCAATTTAAACTAATCCAGCTGAGACTTTACATGCATAAAGTTGATGTGGGTATCCCTTAAGAAAGGTTTTTATTAATTCCATCCCTAAGGGGATAAAACAAGCATTTTACACGATATAATGAATAAATATTTGTTAGTTTTAATGTTAATTACTAGTTATAATACTTTTTCATCTATGCTATAACGTATAACAATGGGTGGACGGCGTAGTGGTTAGCGTGTTCACCTGCTATGCGGAAATTAAGCAAATTTCTCTAGGACCAATCATAGGATGGGTGACCAAAAATGAATTATTTCGGGCTCTTCCGTACTTTGGCCACATTTGACCCACGTGGTATTATATATCCCATTTTCCATATCGCCCAGCACGATAGTGGACGCATTAATTGGCTGTTATGTTGATAAATATATATATATATCTATTATTATTATTATATTACTTCTAAGATTCACGAATGTTCTACAAATATTCTTTTCTACATTTACTCGGGTCTGGGTGTTGGATACTTCGTTTTTTCCATTAAAAAAATACCTATATAAAAAATTCCACCGTGTAATGGCACCAAAACCTGTAACTTTTCGCTGATCAAACGTTCAAGAATCAAGCCGAATATATTAACTTAATATGTAACGATTATAATTAAGTAATCACTACTAAGTACCATGAGTAATTAACTAAATAAAATTTAATTCTGCGTGTGGGAATTTAAAACTTGGCCATTATAAAAAGGACAATGCGTACCCATTTTTGTTCATTTCAAAACTAGGTACCGACGCTGCCTGACACGTTCATTGATTTGGTTTAAGTTAAATTCTTCACAGACAACAAAACAGTGGTGATTCTTTTGGAACAAGTAATATTATTGTTCGTCGAAATGAATTTGCAGGTAAGAGCCTTTTGAACATTAACCATTTTTTTGTCGAACTAGTCTAAAATGTTATGTCAATAGAATTATGAATTCTAAAGACGTCACGTTTCAAAGTTACCTGGTGACGCTATATAGAACAACAAGAAATTTATAACGATTGAGGAGTTAAGGAAACTTAAATTACGGACCAACCAACCAAAAATTTATAATATCAACATCCTCTGTGCTTCGGTAGGCACACAGTTCTCAGTTGGGATCAGAAGGTTAAGTGTAAGTTGTTTTTTGATAATACGTTTACCTTCTTTCGTGAGCACATTAACATTTATAATAGATTGTAGGTACTGAAGTGGACATAGCGGATCAAGCGGTAACAACGACAACTAAAAATTCAAAATCTTAACGCGCTCACTAGTAAACGGATTAGCGGAAAACTCACACTGACCACTCTGCAGTTATAAGCCTCATAAGCAGGAGCTTATGAGGTGTTGGCAGGTGCAAAACGCACCGAACCTTCGTGGTTGTGGTCTGTTACTTCTGGTTCCATTGAGAAGGCACATGCGTAGCACACTTTAAGTATGAGTCACAGGGCTGCAGGTCAGCATTCCAATAAAAGTAACTCGGATCGGATGAGAACTTGGTCTCCAACCGCGGATTGTGTTCGTTTGGTTTACAACTGCGGTGTAGAGTGTAGATGGTAGACAAGAAAATTCACTCTGTTTGAATGCTAGTATGCAACCGTGTGGATCACACTTAATAAGCTGAAATAAGTTATTATCTTCAACCAAGGGCTTTGGCTTCAATTAGTTTGTATAGAACAGGTATGTCTGATTTTGAAGGCAAACCTACCACCATACATATTTAATACGTTAAGATTTTTTTTTTTCTGATAATTGATCATTATTCTGTTAATGGCATCTAATAATTCAGATAAATTTTAAATTAAACAAAGATAGTGTTCGTATTACCTTGAAACCGTGACATTTGAAGATGATTTCTGTCTGATAATATGATAAATTGTTTCTTTTTATCGTGTAACTTTAGATGCCACCATTTTGAAGTTAAAAAGTTCGGTAAATAGGTATCATTCCTTCCTCATAATATCAACATTCCTATTCCGTAATAAAATCAACGCTGACGACAATGTGCAACACAGCACTGTCAGAACATAGAGGATCAAATTGATAGAATAAAACTTTTGATACGTATAAAACATAAAACCGTTATGCTCGACGTTGAGTTCGATTAATAACAGAATAATACTTTGGTTTGATATAGTAACATAAATAGTACACTTTAACTCGTGTAAGTTATTAATGACGTAGACTAGAACAGCGATCGATAAAGTTCAATGTCGATTCAACTGCATTTCCTTTGCTTATCTCTAAAGACCGTTTCGAAATCGAAATTGGGCTTACTTAAATCTGGAATAGCTAGCAGTCCGGACACGGACAATTATTGGCTGCTAGTACAGAATTACGTATATTTAAGTATTCTATTCATAATAATTAAATGATAATTATAATTAACATCCATTGTTGGCGGTAATGCGAAGAATTTAGCTTAATCGTGTCACGATAATTATCGGTACCAGAACCAGAAAACCTATTAACTACTTTGTAAAATTATAATTTCAATCAAGATTACGAAAAACAAGATCGGTAAAATCTTGTTTTTTTACAATTGATTCCATGAAATATTTTTATATCCCATAAATATTGATGATGTGGATTGTTAATTTTTTTTGTAATACTGATAAATTTGCGAGTTAACATCTCGTTTGTTCGTAATAATACAAAATCTTTTATTAACTGAAAACTTGTAACTGTATGAGTAAATAATTACTACTAAGACGATAACTACACCATATACTCGTTTTGAAATAGGGAGAATCGATATCATTTTATGTACGTACCTACTAAGGAATGGCTACGTTTCCATTCCGTCCTATTCCAATTATTGTTTTTTTTTTCTAGTCTATTATAGCTTTTAACAAAAATTTGTACATTTCAGATTTTGCTTCTCCTGTGTGCGCTCTGTGTATACGCTTCAGTATATAAAACCGTTTCATCATATACTACCGCTGAAACTGAGGATCACGAGAACGAAATAAAAATAGAAGAGAGGACTATTAAATATGAAGAGATGATACCGACCTCTTTGTTAACAGACGACGATCCACCTGGCGACAACCAAGAAAAGGATGATACATTAGAGCTTTATATAATGAAAGCAAACAGGGGTATACTTAGTCCATATTTCTTTTAGGAAAGATATTTTAAGGTTAGAAATATGATCTTCAAGATTGACCTTGATCCTGGAATTCAAAAAAATCAATTGATACTTCCGATGAATTGTAAGAGTTTTAAATCATATTTTGGATAATATCCTTACAGTTATAATACGAAATACATCTGTCGCGTTTATCTATGTATCTGGAACGTGCAAAATCAGATTTTCATGCAATTCCCACTATTGTATAATAATTTATGAGACAATTTTTATTTTCATGTAAATAAGCTAACTTATGGTAAAAAAATTAATGTAAACTCGTTTTTAAACATTATACCAATACCAGTATTATAATTTATTGCTCAATAAAATATATCTATCAATAACCTAGCATTTTTCATTGAATTCCAAGTTTACAACCAGTCATTATCTCATTCCACCCATCAATCGAGAAATACATATCATTTATAACTCGCAGACCTGTGCGATTATTATAAATATGATATATATGTATAACAAATTGTCTTATATTTATCACTTTTCCCAAATAAAAAGAGTAGGTATGATTATGAGAAGAAACCGAAGAAATTACGAAATTGGGGAAATTATTTTTGTCTATAGAAATTCTCAGTACCAAATCACTTACAAAATGTAATGTAGTTTACTCATGTTAAATTACACTTTAATTTGATGTTATTTCTCGGTACTTAATATGTTAAAAGTCACCCTTCTAAGTTCCATGGGTGATTGGTTTGCACACTTATTCCAAAATGTCGCCATCTCTGAGAAATCAAGTCCGATATCCGGTCAGGAAAACATAATCAAAAATGAACTACCCACATCACAGAAAAGATCCACATTGTTTTAAATCTGAGTATAATATAACAGATTTCTTTAGCCCAAGAGCTTAACACGAAGTTTTATATACGTCCATTAGAATTTTTCATTACTTTAATGAAACATTAGCGATACAAATATAAAAATATTATTTTTTAAATCCTAATGGATGTTTGTGCAACTTGGTGTTGGTATATTTATTTACACATTGGCCTTATCAAGGAAAGCTTTCACTTTAATGTAATCATTTAAAAGGTCGTTGATATTTAAAACTAAAGTCACAATAAACACTTGCTTTACAAATGAGTACAAAGTAATAAGTGCTTCATAGTTTATATTACCTAAGTACCTACCCATGTAATGTTTACGAAACCGCAATGGAATATTTAGGTAATAATGTGAAGATATAACAACATTGTCGTAATATTTATTTATTGTATTCACAATGAAATTAAAAGACGAAGGCAAATTATCTGCTTTCAAAAATAAACTAACTCAACTCAAAAAGTAATATTGTTATTATCAGACCTGTTAACGTCAGGGTAGTTTTGCAATAGAAATAATAAAAAGGTATAAGGAAATTTGCAAACAAAAAACTACAAACAGCACAATTTACCTTTGAAGTAACTTCATCATAACATACCAGCAGCAAAATAAATACCTGTGATATCGAATTCCATCGCAGGCGTACAATTCTGTTGATATTTTCACGTACTTTCTTTAAAATTAATATCAATTTTGCATTGTGAACGTAAAACTTAAATAAAACAAAGTACTATCTTCCCACAATTATAATTTCGAAACCAAAACAGACAACCAATCGGAGAAATAAAACACAACTTTTAAGATGTTACAGTAATACAATTTCATGGCATATTCTATGTTTATAAACTTCCGCATTCTTGCTATTTTAAGTAAATTTATAATTAATGAATTTTTTACAGTTGTATCTACATAAAACATCCAAAACTGGAATAAGTAGAAATTTTATAAAAGGCAATTGCTTGCAATGAAAATCACTTTTAAGATCACACACATGTATCGTCAGCTCTACGTCTGGTAGATGGCATAGGTTCCTTATACCTCTGCATTGATCTCCAGCAGGCCTTAGCAGAAGCACTGTATGTATCCATATACTCTGTTCTCCCAGGAAATTCTACGAACCAGGATTGTACTGATTTTGGGGTCACCCCCGTATGGACTGGACCTGGTGGGTTAATTGTAGGTCTGACGGTAGGTGGATTGTCTGTGAAGTGGGTGGGATCTTTGTAGCATCGGAGGATTCCGAGCTTGTTGCTCTCCATAGGTATAGGAGCATTGGATTGGGACGCTGCGACTATAGTTCTGTAGTCTGATACTGGGAAGGCTGTAAGAAAAAAATATTTGAGCATTGTAAGCTTTTCAATATGGACGTTTATTAAAGGAGCTCAAAAACGCTGTTGTAATTTTGCTAATGATAATTATGACAAGTCAATTGTGCTTCAATGACAACTGTTTTGACAATGTTCTTGTTATTAGATCACTAAAACGTACAATATTTGTCACCATTGATTCACAAAGAATAAATCAAATCAAATCAAAATCATTTATTCAGTCTAGGCTGTTACAAGCACTTGTGAAAGTCGAGAGCTACGCCAACGGTTCGTAAATCTACGGCGGGAGACCTTGTACCGAGAAGAACCGGCAAGAAACTCGGCAAGGGCTGCTTTTTTCTCCGTTTTATTTCATACAGAGCGTCAAGATTGAAAAATGACTTCATTAAAATTTGAAGTCACTTTCCATTACAATATAACACAATATTAAGAGTAAAACAGTATTTTCGTCAATCCAATCACATTTGTAGCCAAAGAAGCTCACCGATTAACAATTTAATATATATGAAAAATGAGCCATATTTAACTCCAAGTAGTTTTGTCGTTTAAATATTCATTAATAGTATAATATCCTTTACTGAGTAGACAATTCTTAACATGGGTTTTAAACTTAGGTAATGGTAAATTTAAAATTTCCATAGGAATTTTGTTATAGTAGTGTACACCTTGACCCATAAATGACTAAAATAGAATAGAATAGATTTCACATATAATAGTGCAATGGCAAACTGCAATCAATTGAGACGCCTTGAGATGCCATTGTTACGTTAACATTAGCAGAGTTGAATCACTGGTGTTGGCGAGGTTAAACCACTTCTGCAAGCTTCATGATCGGATGGATGATAAAAAAAACATCCTTAGTCCTAATGTGCTTCGGAATTAGGAATCCCGCCTGCATCTGTACTCGTTACCGCCCGCAAATTGTCACTGAGACCGCCTGATGGGGTTATAGTTTGTCCTTCCGTGTAGAAGTGAACGTAGAAAGCATGTATTCACTATAATAGCGGCATTTTAATATGCTGCTGATGATACGTACATCTTTTTTTATAAGTTGCTTGGTACATGGTGATCATCTTGCTGTCGAGGTCATCACATGGGTGATCTAGTATGTCATTGGAGACATCCACCATCTGGAATATGATCATTGAATTTAGCTTGCAACTTCGAGTACCTATATACCAGTATTATAGAGTAGAGAAAAATATTAAAGTATTGCTCTAGACGACAGACGGTAGCGTGTCAAGTCATGGTCAAACAAAGAACTGACGATCAGCACTCATTTGAAGTCAACACTAGAACATCAAATAATTTTAAACAATAACTTGCAAAATGCTAATGAAATTAAGATGATCATTTTGTTTACCGAAGCATGACAAAACAAGTCAAGTCAAACTTTGAGGTGTTGTAGATTTTTGTGGTAGGTAGATCAACCATCAATAGTACTTTTTATTTATTGCCTATGTTTAGTGAACAATATTTCTAGTAACAAGCTTGGCTTATATTGCAGATAAAAAAAAAGTCTAAAACACAGATTAGAATACTCACACAAAACGAATCTACAAATATCAGCAAATATTTACAATAATATGACTCAATTAAAAATGCCTCCTTTGTAAATCGAATGTACGAATGTCATTCACCTGTGAATTTAGTGGAATATTGATACCACGAAAAACAGTGATAGTTAGATATTCTTGCAATCACTACCAATTATCTGATATGAAAATATACTGCATATGAAAGCAAAGGTGCATTTTAGCAAACACATATTGGATCTAAATGTTACTTTGCTCAAAAACAACGATATGTTTTGTTAGGTGCGTGTAAAATAAAACGTAAGTCATGAAAACGATTTTAATACAAATAATGTATGAGAAGGTAAATTTGTGATAAATGCTAGTTAAATTTGCACTATCCACTCTAGACGGGGTGTATTAAAATCATTTTCATGACTTACGTTTTATTTTATGACCACTTAATATGTCATACCTAATATTAGAAAATTTATCCCTACAGGTAGCGATAAATGGAAATAAAAATCCGAGTATCCCAACCAGTGCAAATCGGCGGAGATATGTGGAGTAACAGATTCCATATATCTCTACCAGTAGCTATAATTCGAAAAAAATCCTAGTATCCCTACCAGTGGGGATTTGTCAGTAGGGATATGTGGAATAGGAGATATCGTGGAAGCAAAAGCTGAGAAGCAAGATCTACACTAATACTATAAAAAGATATACATAGTTTGTTTGTAGGGTATTTTTGGAAATACTAATCCGGTCATGAAATTTGCTTCGCATACGATGAACTACATCATACGCGAGTGATATAGGTATTTTACGCAGGCGAAGTAATATTAAATCATCAGTGTATTATTCCTATCCCATTCTATCACACCAGAGCTGTTAAGGCAGATAGAGCAGAGCTCATTATTCATTTCAGGAGTAACTTGTACCCGGTGCATACCACGCTTGCTAGAAAAACAACAGCATTTTTCTACCGCCATCTTTCACAGGATTCCAATGTTACCTAGCAAAAATTGTACCATGACCTTATAGTTAACTTATTTCAATATTGTTTCAGTTGAAATTTTTTTTATATCATCGCTCAAGCTATGGACTAGTGTTGAAAGGATTTGCAGAGTTCGTGATAACCGAATTAAGCTTTAACAATCTTATTTACCTGTTTCCTTAATAGCTCATAGTCTTGGCACAGTTTTTGTTCTTTTTCAAGCAATTGCTTGTATTGTTCCACTCGCGGTGAATATGAGTGCGCGTCACAATGGCAGTAGGGAGCGACAGGTGGAGGGCGGATGGTAGGAGCCGCTACAGGACTAGGCGGCTCGCATGGTCTAGGCATCGTCATGAATCAATTTATTAGTGGTGTACCTAGACGTTGGTAGGAAAAGATCATGGCCCAGTACTGCGCACCAAGAGAAGACTAGTAAGTCTTGTTTTGGGTATGTTGTGAGAATGTAAAGAGAGAACATTTAAATGACATAATAAAATGTTAGTGTGACTCCAGCCACGTCTAGCCCTAGGGTACTGAAGTCACTGATAGCAGCTACTTATTTCGTACGAATAAATTTGACACCTGAGGACCTATTCGATTTGTCCTCGAACGAAAATTCGGAAAATTTCGAATCGTTAATCTGTGCATCAGACACGTGCCTCCATCGCATCATAAATATTTAAGAAAATGCATTTTTTTGGAGTTTTATTAGCATTTCGAAAATAGACGAAAATTCGATTCAAGAATTAAAATTCGGCCTACAAAAAAATGTTCACTATTTTCTTGTATTGTATCATTTTTGTCTTTTATCATTTCACCTGACAATAATCTAAGAGTTTAGCGCAGTTAAATAAGTTATTGCTATAATTATTTTACATATGCGAAGTGATGTTTTCAGTGATTTTGGGAGAACATAACAATATCACAAGTTTTTCCATTCTTATTGTTGTGAAAGTATGTTTGGAGGCAAATACTTACTTTCCTACAATAGGCTTTGGGAAGGGCCATTGGAAATCAACATGATTAGATGTTGCAAAACTATCCATTTTAAGATCTGACTGCCGCAATTTAACTGGAACAATGAGGAAGTTAATTATTTTTATTGCAATAACCAATTTATATGGAAACGTCAAGTTCTCGGTCATAAATACCTTAATTTCAGCTTATGAAGTTAATGTTTTTCAAATTTAATATAACTATTTTTGCTAATTGACACCCTACATAATTTAGTATCGCTTTTGATGCCAAAAATTTGATCTGTTCAATAATTTCTGTAATGAGGGAAGATAAAAACATTTTTGACGTTTTTCGCTTTTTTTTCTTCATGAATAATCAAAGAGAATATAATTAAAACTTCATTTTTACTCTAAATGCCTATATAAATCACAAAAAGCCTGAGCTTGACTTTGCCGCTTTCGTGTGATAAAAAATACTCAGTAGTAGAAAATATAATTATATAATGTCAACATTCATAATAATAAATATATTATTCGACTATCAACTGAGGATATCTGATATCGATACAAGCAAGATAAATTTTAGTCTTTGAAAAAACGTGGAACAACTGCTCTTTTGATAAACATAAATTATTTATTTGATGATATCCGTCTATTTTTAATTCTTTGTCTTTCTTTTTAGTTTCGAATATTATTAAAAATACAAGTTCGAAAAGATTTTTTTCATTTAACAAAAATACAAATGTTTATGCTTATAACATGCACACCAAAAATACCGAGAACTTATTAACATAGTGATTATGTTACGTGGAACGAAACGAAAATTAGAGTCTATGCCCTCTTTGGTCTATTTGATGTTAAATTCACTTTGACTTTCTCGTTATATTAATCCGCAACATCGAAGTTTATTTTCTATAGAAGAATATCGCTTATACTACTGGCAACATTCATTATAATTTTACCATGGATAACACTCTAATGTTATGCTGTCAAAACTCTGTCACAGATAGTCATCATCAAATCAGCTGTGTACCACACACAGGGAACATGTATTAATAAATGTGCGTATTAAATTGTTTCGTGTAAAAATGTCCACTGAGACTATTGATAAAAAAGTAACTCAATGTTTATGATAAATTCACGGTTAATAAAACATGGCGCGGCGGAGGAGCAGCGGTATCACAAACCTGAGCTTTAACCAGGACCAAGGTTTGTCAGACTTCCTCGTTCGTCAACCTGAGTTCTTTGTTCTTTGATTTGTGCATTATTCATGATTTAGATGATTCGGGCATTGTTTTGATGATTGTAAATAAATCAGTTTCATTGTTGTACGTGTAGGGTGCTTTAAGGCCGCGTTGCTCTTGAAAATATCATAGCACGTTGTACGATCGGATCGTTTCTAACACGTGTTGTTTATATTTTTAGTAGTGCACCCACGCGCGCATTTCGTTCCTTGACTTAGCACGCTATTGTTTTAGGCGTTGGTTTCGTTTGCCCGTTTTAATACGCACTGGCGCTTTTCAAGATAAATCAACATAATCGACTTTATTTTAGGAACTTAATTAGAATATGAACATTAACCCCAATTTTGTTTTGTAATCTTAATAATTTTGCTAACATATTCAAATTAATGAAGAATGTAATGAAAATATAAATTACACAAGTTATTGATTGTAATATCATATATTTAGGTATTTGTAGTATCATTATTTTTAGATGTAATAATATAAATAGATTATCCTTTGGGTATCTGTGGTACTAGAATAATCTTAATAGATTTTTTGTTTTAAAGAATAAAATTGTTACTACTACACTGATTTTAAAAATCTGTTCACCCTCATTATTGAAATATCAGTTAACAAATATGTAATAGTAATTATAAAATTATCATTATAAATTTAGATGCATTTTCTGTTAATTAGTGCACAAATTAGTAGATTGTAAAAGATTGTGTAATAATGTCAAAAATCTATTTAGTAACATTGTGAAGAGCACACCAAAGTAAATTTTGTAATCTACCTTCAACCATGCCAACAATATGAAATTTTAAATAACAGTAGTATTTGATCAGTGATAAAATATGCCATTATGCACTTATTCTTTTTGAAATTTACCTGTTCATATAGAAACCTGTTTACATAATATCAACCACAAATTGAAATGCTATTTTTATGATAACTAGAACTGCTTTGGTAACATAATGATTACTTTACATAGACTTTACTAATTATTTTTGTCATTAGCTCTTGTTAAGTGTTGTAAGTGTGGTTGTTTAATAGTTAGAACATAGTTAAGCTGTTTTAACAAAAATAATTACATAATTTAAGTCTTGGGCAGCTCAGTCAGTCAGAATTGTCACCCAGTTTCTTAAAGCTTATAGTTTTAAGTCCAGTCCAAAGCATGTGAGATACAGAGTTTTATAAATATTTTTCTTTTAAAGAAATCAATATAAATTTTATACAAGATCACATACATCGCCCTGATTCCAAGATGTGTAGCTAAAGCTGCCATATAAGGTACATTTACCAACAAATAGCTAAAGCAATAAAAAGAGTGGTCTTTCTTGTTCTTTTAGTGTAAATGAAAATTTGTTTAAGTGTTTGCACCGAAAAAATATCAGCATGCATGAATTCTCATTTTTCTCTAACAAAGTTTTGAATTCTGCACAATGCTTAGGTCAAAGACTGCTCAAGTACTTGATAGCTTTATATACACAAATCACTATAACATAAGAACGCTTTGAAGGGAGCGAACTGAAACCAGCATACAAACCATATACCATATCAATATCAATTTAGCAATGCGAATATAAATTTTACCAAAATATAATAATAAGAATACATCTGTATCCTGAGATCTTCCATAACATTTAATTTTACATGATTTTTTGTATGGCTTAGGCTGTATTGACTATTATTAAACATTAAGACAAAATAATCAAACCTATACAGCCTGACACACAAAAAAACATGTACAAAAAGCTATTTATATTAGTATTAGTTATTATGAATGACATCTGCGAATACGAATATCTACTGCTCACATTCGCGAATGCGAATATTCGTCGCCAATCGCCTATCAGCCTATTGCACTAACGTTCATTAAAATGTTTGTTGGTTTACAGCAACATTATCGATACAAATATTCGAACTTGAAACGTTCATTAAGCCTGCTCGCGTTACATGACGGACTCGAGAACATTTTCATATACATATAAATGTCACTTTTCTCGGGTGTCCACACGATATCTAACTCTCGTAAAAGTGACATTTAATGACATTTAATTAAAAGTGACATTTAATTAAAAGTGACATTTAATGTAGACTAAGCGTTTCTCGGGTTATTCATGCTACCATATAGTTTCTAAGTCTAATGACAAATATATTATTTATCATAAGATAAAATGAAGATGCGAATGTAAATATGAATGCCAATGCGTATATTCTAAAATAGGCGAATATTCGCTTATGTGGATAATATGTGGATGTAACATAGATACATATTGTGTGTATGAAATATCATGTTACACAGTATAAATCTTTGAACAGATCTTTTGCAGGTTTTGTGGTGCATTTAAAAGTAACTTCCAAGCCCTCAAAGTATTCTCAGGTCTAAAAAATTTAAAAGTTTATAGTTTTGTTCATACAACAAGGTTCTTATATCATTATCTATAAAAATTACATAAAAATCACTTTTCTTTGTGTATGAGCCTCCCTTAAATGTTGATTTTATTCTGTTGTTAGTATTTTTTGTTATAACAGCAACAAAAATACAGCATCTGTAAAAATTTCAACTGTCATAACTACCAAAATATGAGATCCGGCTCGGTGACACAGAATGAAATCCTAAAAACACTTGGGGCAGTATATGAAATATGTGAATAAAAGAAAATATTAAAATTCTGTTATTATTTTTGACAGGCTGCTTCACTTGCTGCTTAACATCTGGCTTGCGCGTCTACAATGTGGAGCCGCTTGTCGAGAAGACCCACTACAGTGAGTATTACACAAATCAAACGATTGTATCTATTTTAGTAATTCGTCCACAGCCAGGTCAGGTTTAATTTTAGGATGCAACAATACTTAAATGGGGCACTCTCCATTTTATAATTAGTAATGTATCTACGCTACGACTACTTAATTATTTTAAACAATCACACTTTAACCAAAACATTGAATACAAAGTACCTATCTAACACTCTTGTTTTGCAGATATCTGAAACAGCGAAGGTACTACAACACCCAACCCAAATTCATTTTTTTATTAACCTATCAGAGAATAGAACAGGTGGTCCTCAATGATTGAAACATTAATTTGAAAGTGCCATTAATTTGCAATTAGGTATTTATCTGACGCTTCAAAGTAAGAGATCGTTAAGTTATTTCATGACAAAAGACCAAACTTCCCCAATCAATATTAAGCCATGTTGAACAGGTTTAGACAATCTTGTTATGATTTGTGTTTGATATATACAAATATTTCATTGTATACAATCAACTACTTCATTTTATAGCCATCAACTAGATGGCGCAAGCTGTATTTTAAAATGCAAACACAATAGGTAGTGCCTATAAATAATATTACTTGAATATAATTGCTATAAAAACTTACGGTAAATTGTCTCTATTTATTTCTACCTCTTCAAAGCTCTTAGAGCTTATCATCATCATCATCATCACCAGCCCTTTTACGTCCCCACTGCAGGGGCTCAGGCCTTCCTTATGGATGGTTAAGGAGGATGGGCCATGACCCTCCACGCTGGCCCAATGCGGATTGGAGGGTTGGGTTAGGTTAGAGCTTATAACTCATTTTAATTACTACTGAAGTATGTTATGTATAGAAGTTAAAAATAATTTAGAAATACTGAACAGCTTTCGTTAAAAGTCCATGTATATGTAGGCAAGGAGGAGTTGGGAGAGGTGTCACTATGCGAGATGATATTCCGCACCAACTGGCTGCTGCTGGTTAGGGCGCGCCGCCCGTGCACCTTGCTGCTGCTGGACGACCAGCGGCGCAGACTCAAAGCAGAGGTGCACTTCAAATCGCCAATCAGATCTCTACGCGCCAGAAGAGATAAGTCAGTGTTTATTACAATAACAATAATATATGTATCTTTGTTACTTTCTCGAGGGTTAGTAATATTTTGGCACGCGAAGAAAAAACACCAATAGAGTATATAAAGAATTATTTTTTATAATTATACATTTGGCACTTCAACAGGCTGTGGGATTTCGGAAGGAAAAGATATCTTACGTTTATACCTTTATATGTTTTAATCAAGTTACAACTTACGTAGTCCACAACATATAAGCTAAGCTGACAAACTCTAAATTGAAAAGCCTCATCTACTTTTGCATTATTGAAAGTCCACGCCTATACCCGAGATCATATATGCACACACGAACATGCACTCAATTAAAGAGAGACATAACAATTATAATTTCTTAATTTACACTACATATATAAATAGGCACAAATCTCTGTTTCACTGTACATGGATATAATAGAATGGTTTTTGTCAATATGATTTTGTTCTTATAATATATAGTTTTAATTGTAAATTACATATAAGTTGTATGAGTCTTGCAAAGAATCTGCATCTTTAGTCTGCACTGGAATATTTGTATTTAAATGTAACCAACGATATTGGGTTTACAATAAGTACTAGTACAAAATAAGTCCTAATTTATCTTCGGTCAATTATCGAAGTAATTTAAGTAACTTTTGGCATAAGTGTATTGTAATCTTTTTTGTGGTTCATACAAATAATAAAAAAGAAAACTCGCGGGCTGGCACCAGCTAGTAAAATATATATTATATCTCTGCGACACGTAGAATTACAATAAAAACAAATGTTTTAATCCCAAGTGCAGTTTAGACTATCGGAAACCCACTCTAGCAACCGCCACGTACTTATGTCCGCCGTACATAATAATTGGTTTCACGACAGATGTGATGAGACGCATCCTCCGTCAGATATACTCCGACCCTGACTATTAAACATTATCAGTCTTATTACAAAACGAGGACTGACTATTTTATATTGTCCGATTGATATAAATTTCTAGTGGCATTGGCCATCGCTGAATTTAAACCAAGTACGAACTTTGGTTTTATAATTTATAATAAGACGGTTTACATAGTGTAACATTAAGAACGGTTAGCGTGGGAATGTCTGCAACTGTGTACGAAAATCATTGATTTTAGTGAAAAGAAAAACTCCAAAAAAGGATTGTTTAAGCCCTACACAATCGGTATCTAAGTAGAAATTATAAAAGACAGTTCTCAGGTCGGAAATCGAAACCGAACATTTTGAAAATTAAAACTTACGTTATGCTTTCTTAAATTACAGTTTGTTATACTTTTCTTCTGTCTATAACTATATATTTAGAATATAATAGAAGTTACAGGAGAATAACTATATATTTATTGATTTATTTTACTGATTTACAACAACACTGATTTAAATTTACAACAGACTACAGAAATTTATAGAAATAAATTCAAACAAATATCCCAATTATACCTACAGTAGGCGGTCTTATGGCTTAACAACGGTTTCTTCTAGAAATCATAGGCACAGTAACAAATAAGCGAGGGGTACTTGCGCGCATTGCAAAATTTAATAATTATAAACCGAATTAAAGCTATATCGACATAATGGGGACGACAACTGGGTAAAAAAGAATATTAGATACCTTTTTTTCACTTTAACAAGCTATAGCGTAGATAACAGGCATTAAAGTGAGTAATTTTGGTAGCATTTGGTAGGAAACTGCGAAAGCACCGCAACGCCCCTGCTGTACCAAACATTCGTCTACTAACTTCTAATTATTCTTTTGTGTACTATGCTACTAATGGAAATGTGAATGTGTGTGAGAATGTATGTATGTTTGTTACTCCGTCACGCAAAAACTACTGAACGGATTTTGATGACGTTGGATATATAGATAACTAGCTTTCCGCCGGCGGCTTCGCCCGCGTGGTCTTTTATTATACATAAAAACTTCCTTTTGAATCACGTTATCTATGAAAAAAACCGCATCAAAATCCGTTGCGTAGTTTTAAAGATTGAAGCATACCTAGGTATATAGGGACAGAGAAAGCGACTTTGTTTTATACTATGTAGTGATAATAAGCCTGATTACAATGTACTATTTTTAAGGACAAATTACTGTCTCGTCGTCGTTTAAACCACGTGGGTGAAGCCGCTGGCGGAAAGCTACTAACAAGTACATTAATTTTACTGATGTTATCTTAAATATTTATAGAATTGAAAGCGCAATATGACAGGACAAAAACGAGAAAGGATTGTGACTAAAACATGATTTTGGTTGATATCGTATCTAGATATATCTTATGGAGAAATTTCTCTTGTATAATAGAGATGTGGCGTAGAGTAGCTCGGTGGCGTAGTGGATAAGCGCCGCGGCCCGCGATCGTAGTCGTTAAGCAACTTTCGCAAGGGTCGGTCACGGGATGGGTGACCAAAAAAATTATTATCTCGAGCTACTCCGTGCTTCGGAAGGCACGTTAAGCCGTTGGTCCCGGCTGCATTTGCAGTCGTCAATACCCTCCAATCCGCATTGGGCCAGCGTGGAGGGTCATGGCCCATCCTCCTTAACCATCCATAAGGAAGGCCTGAGCCCCTGCAGTGGGGACGTAAAAGGGCTGGTGACTAATAGAGATGTAAAGAAGCCAACACAATCAAAGCTCATAGTACCACTGTAATCTCGATAACGAGCTCTAGACCACTTATCAATAAGGTTCACATCATTGTTCAATATATGTAATTCATGAACTAGAACACGATAAGATAAAGAGAAACCTTCACACATTAACCCAGTATTATTTTACAGGTTTTTAATTTGGTTTACCGGTTATAAAGTGATTTTTATAATTATAAAAATAGTTATTTTATTTTTTTCAGCTGTCATTATCTTGTTTAAGTTGATTCTCTTGTAACTTTTTCATTATTCTGTATGTAGGTTTATAGAGTTTAAAAAAATCTATCCTATTAATATTATAAAGGCGAAAGTTTGTAAGTATGGATGTATGGATGTTTGTTACTCTTTCACGAAAAAACTACTGGACGGATTTGGATAAAACTTTACAGCAATATAGGTTATACATCAGAATAACACATAGGGTACTTTTTACTGGGAAAACTTCTCACTCCCACGGGATACCGACTTCCACGCGGACGAAGTCGCGGGCGTCCACTAGTAAGCAATAATTTATAAAATAGTTAAAACTTTAGAAATGAACATTTGAATTATTAAGGATATTATAAATATACCAACTTATTACGTTATTACTACCAGTAGGACCTCACCGCGATATGATCGATAAGGGACTACAAGAGTAGGGAAGAGGGATAAGAGAGAGCTCATGCACCTCTTATGATACCTCTTTTATACTATACAGATAGGAAGTACGTGTACTTATATTTTTTAATTAGATTTAAAGATTTATTAATTTAGAACAGTATTATCGATATTTATACCTTATTTTTCTTGTAGACAGCTAAAGTCTCAAGATTAGAAAGTTTTTAGATGCGTCGAAACCCAATTAACTTTGGAAACCACAAATTTATATAGTGGGTACAACAGAATCGCCACCATTGTCTAAATAAATACTCTGCGACGCATATACTCGTGTACCTAAAAACATTATGCTAATGATATTTGGCCGAACAATAACAAAGTGTACATATGAAATATTATAACAATACGACAGGTTTATATAATTAATAGAATTTAACATTATGTTATTCACGTGATTATCGTCTTAAAGCATTTATTTATTTATACGTCACAAGTATTGGAGACACGATTTTGCGGCGTAGATTATACGGAATTACACACATTGTGTGATGCGCATGTTAATGTTATATTAATAATAACATGTAGCGTTTTTTTGTCATTATGATGGGTGACCAGTAACATAATGTAGCGTTTTTTTGTCATTATGATGGGTGACCAAAACATTTCTAGTTTTATCGCGCTCATCCGTTCTTCGTAAAGCACGTTAGGTCGTTGCTCATTAATACCCTTCAATACGCACAGGACTCGGGATATTCCACCCGTATGGAAGTCCTGTACCCAACGATGGGGACGAAGATAGTCTGGTGGTGACTATGAGGCAATTTGTTTTAGTACATGAGCCATTTTTTTAGTTATGGTTCCGTACCTACAGTTTAAAGTGGACCCTATTTGTTCCGCTGTCCGTCCGTCCGCCACCAGGCTGTATCTAATAATCCGTGATAGCTAGGCAGTGGAAATTTTCACTTAAAACAGTATTAAATAAAACTCAAAGAGGGCTACAATATAACAAACGTGATTATTTTGCCTTTATGCGCATGTACGACTCGCACTTCGAATTCACATTCGAATGCAAGAATTCGAATTCACTCATGTGAATGATTCCATATTTTTTTCTTCGAGTTTTAATTTACGATCAGTGATAATCACTATAAGAAAATGTGTAGCAGGTTTAGTGGGTTGCGAAGTGTGTTCTTCAGTAAGAAAATCTCTTCCTTATTTACGTCTCTCTATAGGACATCCTACCTTTTGAGTTCTTGTTGTTTTGCTAGTTTATTCGGGTGTGTTTATAGTCTGACTCTATATCTTTGAGTAGAGTGACTGTATAAAATTTTGATTATACTTTGTCTCTGATATTCTATTCCTGTGTCATTTCGAAACTCACTTCACTTGTGCCACGAAACGTTATTACCAATTCAAGACACCTGAGTGAATTCGAATTCGGGTATTGAATTTAACAGAGATACAGGGCAGATCAGTGATAATTTCTATTTCAATGCAGTTGCTCATAAAGCGCAATTTTTTTAATCCATTGTAAACACCGAAAGTGAGTCTTTAAAATAAAAATGTACTGAAATCCTTTACTGCACACGTGCTTAAAAGTACTTTTTTAATTTTTTTTGGCCGACACCAAAGAAGTTTAATAAAAATTGATGAAAATATTTCAAACTTTAGAGGCAAAAGTATTTCAAGGAACCTAGAACGAATATTTTCAAATAAAAATGTATGACACGAAAACATGTTCAAATATCACGTTTAATTTTAACAAATAATTTTTACCTTTAATACATACTTAGTTTTATTAACCTATATATTCGTTTTATTTCCCCGCTAAAAGCATTGAAAAATGTTGTAAGAAACTTGAGCGTAAAAGGTTTTTCCTTACTAAAAACCTTACTTTCCGCACTCGTATCTTAATTTCTATTATATAATTGTGCAGGGTGGCAGTGGTGTTGTCGTCCAGTATACAAGTGCTTACTGTGCCGTGTTTGACGCGGGTCGCGTTGTTGCGCACGCCGACTAGCGCGCGCCCGCTGTGCGCGATCGCGACAGACCCGAGCGCCACGCCTATACTGATCGCGCCGGCGCACCGGCGAGGCTCGCTGCAGATACTGGTATGGTGGATACTTTTTGGCCCGCTTGTTATACTCTTATAATGGATTGCATCCTAAGATCGATTAAAGTTAAAGTACAATTTGATAACTGTCAAGCTTTTCTCGATATAGTAAAACAATAGTATTAAATAGCGAAGATTGGGTGGTTATAGTCAACAGTTAAAAGTTATGACGTCATTGCCAAATGATGCTACTCGTCATTTTCTCAGCTGGCACTTTGACATGTTTGTTTTTGTTAAAGTAATTTGGTGCAACCGGCTGTTAAACATTTATAATCTAGTTTTCTAGTTATAAAAATAGAAAATACAGCAGTTATTATTGTAGATAATTCATTTGCGTAAAGTAATTTATTTTTGCATACAATAAAAACAAATCTAGTCCAAGTGGGTTTGCTAATACACAGTATTACACGATCCTCACAAAATAATATTCCAATGTAATATACATTTAATTTTTATTAATTGTTCATAACACAATTATTTTATAAATTCAGAAATACAGTTAGCAATTGAAAAATCAAAATCCAAACGAACTGACATTCAAATATGATATTTAAGATCAGAAACATGAAATAGTTTGAAATTAAAAGAACAAGATGAACGCTGTTTATGGTTACATCACTTTATAAAGAGATTACAGTTCATATATAAAGGTGACTTTGTAATATTATTTATGAATGTGTTTAAAGTTGCCTATTCCACGTCTTGTTTAAAATGAATAATAACCTGGTTTGAATTAAATGTTGCCAATATCTTAAATTTTACAATTTGACAAAGTAATATTGGTGAATTAATTTATTGATATAAGGTTATGATTTAGTTGATGTTCTATTTATAATGTTTAACTGAACACCGCTTACTTTTATCGCGACGTTATCATTGTCTTGTATTGTGTATTATTTATTTTTGGATGCTGTCCAGTCAACAGCGCGTCAGGTTATTCAAATATGTACACTCCTGTGATATATATTAAATTTTAATCCATTGAATTTTGGGTTCGAAATTGTCTGTAGGAAGTTGTCTTCTTGTAACCTAACGTACTGCTTTATGTACGCTCTTAAATGAAATTGAATGTACTTTGAAATATTACTCAAAGAAGAAATTTCAAAATGTATATTGTATCTATATATTTACACAGTATAGTGTTATAAGTAAAACACCTTCAACCAAAGTATTACATAGCTACCATTATACAACTATAATTCGATACTTTGAAAAAAAAAATTTTTTTTTGTAGTTTTTAAAGTAATGTCTTTTACATTTATAGGTCCAAGTTTTAATGTGCGCTCGACCGTTGTTTCACACACAATAGATACTATATATTAGATACTAGATACGCATAGAGTTATGAACATTCTGACAACTTCGTGATGATAGATTGCATTTTGAATAAAAATTATTTGTTTGTGCTATATACCACTGTTTCACAGTGAGTATCAGGATCCGTCTATAATAAAAGCTCAAGTTTAGGTCCACTGTTGTTTTGCTACGTGTCGTCATCTAGTGCAGAAACTTGGTAACAAATAGTTTGGAAAATTGCTCGTGTTAAGGAGACTTAGTTAATTTTATGCACTAGTAAAATATTATTATTTTATATGGACCTTGTCATACCATATATCATTATTATCATACATGGACCTTGTGTTATCAATACAAAAAAATCTCTTCTTTTTACTTAAAAAACTTGTTTATTATATAATTTCTAAATAGTATAGTTCTACAATCTTTAATTTTTTCTCAAAACTGACACTCAACGAAAATAGTTGCTAACCCCTGGTATAAGTTTAACTACTAGAAACTGTATCACGTCACTGTAATCACAAGGATTACTGTCTAGACTTATATAAACTTATTAATACTCTATATTATATATATCGTAATGATTGTAATCTTAGTGTACCTATAATATATAAATAAATATCATAGGACGTGTCCCGTTCGGTGAAAGGCGCCCTGTCCAGTTCGCCGGCGGTGATAAACTGCCACCACAACGACCTGGTGTGCCTGAGCGTGTCGCCGAACGGTGCCAAGTTGGCGACCGCGTCCGCGCGCGGCACGCTCATACGCGTGTGGGACGCGAACACTAAGCACTTGCTGCACGAACTGCGACGGGGCTCCGACTACGCGGACGTGTATTGGTGAGTATACGCGCACGTGTACGTTGTGGCACGGCGGCGTAGTGGTGGCAACCCTCGCGAGGGTATGCCGCGGGATGGGTGACCGGAAAGTGATATCGCGAGCCACTTCGTGCCTCGGATGGGCGTATTAAACCGTCCTTGATACCCTCCAATCACATCATACTTAAACATCCGTAAGGAAGACCCTACAATGGCGATGTAAAAATAGTGGAAGGATATAAATATTGAATTGCGCATTAGAGTCAATGATAAATAATTGGTAAAGAGGACAAATTTGATTGTGTTCAATTTTATGTGTCAAAAATCTACGTACATGTGTGAAATGAGCGATGAATGTCACGGTACCTAGCATAAGACAGACCGTTCAGTTCTCTCTGCCTGTCCCGCGAGAGTAGTTAGTTATCTTTCATCCTTTTCTCCTTTCAAAATACATCTACAATTTTCTGGTCTCATATATTGGTGACGAAATAGTGTTATGACGCTGACGAAATACTGTTATAACTTGATTAAATCCAAATTGCAATAATAATGATTCGAAATCAGATGTGTGAGCGTATGAGAGCCCAGGCTTAAGGTTGCATTTTCCCTGCGTTAAAAAAATGTGTGTAACACCTGCCAATTCTGTTACTGTTGACATTTTTGTAATATGTTTCCTCTCGCTCACTTCAGTTGTTTTTTCTGAGTTGCTTGTCTATTTCTCATTTTGATAATATCATTGTTGCCTATATTCTAGTTCACTTACTGATTTATAATGTCTATACATCAAAAGTAAATAGGCAGTATTTTTTCCTTTTACTGTATGTCCATATGATTGGTACGGCTCAGCCAATCATTTAAAATAGCTTTTCAATTGGACTTCTGTTTACATGAATAATGCCATTCAATGAGGAAGTATTTAAAAAAAACGAAAGCACTAAAAAAGCACCTCCACTAGATGGCGACTCTAGCAAAAGTCGATTTTTGCAGGAAACGAATGGATCAAAGTCATTTCCGTTCCTTTTAACTAACATGTTAAAAAACTGAAATTTGAAAAGTTTATTTATTTTTATTTATTTATTAGGTAACACAACAGACATTAATCAAAATATAAATGAAATAATAAGTAAAAACTGTGTAGTACTAAATTAATATCCTAAAGGTGTTTACACAATGAGATATGATAAAGAAAAAACAACAAACTATTATTATTACTTTTACTAATATGAAAGAAAACAGAAAGAATGAGTATAAATCAATCTGGATGGTTAAAAAGATTCGACATTTAGGTCTACCACAACTTTCCCAATACATTTTTTGAATTTAAAGAGATTGGCATTAAATATGTCTAATGCCTGATTAACTGGGAGGATCTCATTATAATTTCTGCACATACGAGCGATGGGATTATGATAAGATATGTTATTTCTATATGTCGGTATGACAAAAGTTGGTTGCCTGCGCCTTGGATTATATTTGAAATTAATGTTAATAGATGAAAGAAGATATTCTGAGTCAATTACGGAATGAACTAATTTATGAAGTGTTATTAAAGTTCGAAACTTAGATATCAATACAAATACAAAGTACAAATAGAATATGAGTTTTTTTTATTGAGTTTTGAAAACTAATTTACTTTTAAACATGTAAGAAAACCGGAATGGTTGTCATGGAGAAATCAAGAACGTACCGTAGCGACATCTAGTTTGATTTCGGGATCTAATGTATTTTTTTTAATACTTCTTCATTAGAAAGGCTAACCGTCTAAATGTACGTATGATTTAACCAGTTGGCTGCGACATACATGTATAAATCATAATGAAAAAATTAGAGTGGCAAATTTGTTGCACAGACTAATGTAAGTTAAATTTAATTTCTTAAGATAATAGTAAGGGAGCCCAAGCGGGGATTTTGGGATTTACTAAAGCGCGGCAGATTAATATACAGGGGGATACCTTGTACCCAGTTTAGTACCTGGACCAAGTATGAGCCCTATAAAAATGGCCGCCCGGCAAGGACGAAGGATCAGATTAGTAAAAAAAAATTGATCACCTGAAAATCTCGAGCGCGTCAGATTAAGGTAAGGTGAGCTAGTTACATGCTGTTGCCATGACGCCATGACAGCTGATGACACAGACTCGTTCGTGGCGTGATATTGTTTACATCGTATTTCCAACGTTTTTGCTTATTTTGTTATTTTAATGTAAATTTTGTGAATTAAACTTTTTACATATTTACTAAGAGAATAAGAGGAAGATGATTCTAGCGATGAATTAATAAAAAATACTGTAAAAATTAAATTTTGATATAATCATTTTCTTATAAATATAAATATTTTACATAAAAAGAAAACATACACTTTTTTATTTGCATGCTAACTCCGGTGCTTTTCTATTTAATTAAGATCAAAGATTTGAAAAAATTAAAAAATAAAGATGAACCATATATATCTTAATCTGACGCGCTTGAGTATTTCAAAATGGCGATTTTTTTTTTGCACATTCTAATAATGGTCACGCGTTTGCGTCACATCCGAATCGTCAGATTATTATATGAGAGCTTTTTTTAGGTTCACTTGACATCCCCTCAAAAAATCTGACGCGCTCGATTAATTTTTTTTTTTTTCATTTTCAACCCTTACGTATAACCACCCCCATCATGGAAACGATCAGATTAACATACTACAGTTTTTAAAAATGCGTAGGACATGGATGATATTAATATCTGATGCGCTCGAATATGTTTTTACATATTTAAAAATCTATAGCCGCTTCCCCCACCGATGAAAAAGTATATATTATATGAAATTTTTTTTTTGTTATCATCTAAGCTTCGCAACCCAATAGGTCTCTATGACGCTCGAGTAAATCCCGATTTAGCATCGTGGGCTCCCCTACTATAACAGAAAATATTACATTCAGTATTTACAATTTTATTGGAATTAAGTTTAGAGAGAGTGGTAAAAAAAAGCAAATATATAAGTGTGCAGCGTGTGCTCTGTGATCTCAGAGTACATTTGGTCTGGTGGATTCTTTAAACATTTTCGCATTAAGAATATTTTCCAGGATGGCACTGTGAATGCAAACTTTATCAAGTATTAAATTTACAACTAAACTGTATACTTTTAAGTTGTATTCTTTGGTGATATATAACGTTGTTTGTCCAGTATAAACTTCAATCCGTCTGGTTCGCTGGTGTGTTGTGTATCGGATAAGGGCACGTTGCACGTGTGGTCAGCGCGCGGCATGTACGCGCATTTGGCGTCCGCGCCCGCTGACACGCACGAGCGCGCACTGTGCGCGTTCACTGACGATACCACCTCTATAGGTGAGAATAACGCACTCGCACTGTGCGCCTTTACCGGCGGTAACACTGTAGGTCACCACACTCACGCCCGACCGCTGTGCGCCATCACCGACGGTAACACCTCGGTAGGTGATGACGTACACGAACGACGGGCACTTTGCGGTTGGACCGATGATGCTGCATGTATAGGTGAGTGCGCGCGCGCAAATCGGCCGCTATGCTGTATTGGAGAAGTATTTTAAAATTTTCTTTTGTCATGTTAATTCGCTGACAGATTGGTTTTTGTCCTTTCTCTGATTTAAATTGGAACGCGAAAACAATCGGTCACGTGATATTTCGAGCACTTCACCATACTGATTGCATTCAGTTCAAGTTCATTTAGTAAACATCAATTTCTGTTTATATTTTATGGTTATAAATGTTGAGTAGCCAATTATGAAAATACAAATATTACACTTTGCTTCTGGAGAGACATTCGGCCACATAAGCGGGTTGCCATATATTTACATATTGATTTGTTTTACAGTGATATGTGAAGATGGAACATTCCACAAGTTCAAGTTCTCCGCTGAAGGCACTTGCCACCGCAGCGACTTCGATTATTTTCTGCAGGTTCGAAATTCCTCAACATCTATACTAATATTATAAATAAGAAAGATCTAATTGTTTGTTTGTTTTTACATCGCATAGACTCCAAAAATACAGGGTTAATTTTAAAAATTATTTCACCTACGTGTAGCTTCATCATATGCAGGTGACATAAGCTATAATTTACGCGAGCGAAGTCGCGGGAAAACAGCTAGTATCTATAATAATTACTATACAGGGCTATTTGTAAAGCACTAATAAACTTAAAGAACTAGATGGCATTTACATTAATCACCAGGGTCCGTGAGTGGAGTGCGGGCGATTTCTATTCCTCATTTTCATTGATTTATGAACAAATGAAATGGTCCCACAGAAATTACTCACATTACACATCACAGTTTTTGTTGTACTTTCGTGAGATTTGAGTTTTTTTAATATTCATAACGAACGAACATAACCGGTGTTACCTCATATTAATATTCACTTTGAGCAGTAAATATGTTACGACGTTTTAAAAATGTGCTTCTTAATGTTTTTTTTTTATTTCAGGTCGGCGACGATGACGAGTTCATGCAATGATGTATTCTAAAATTAAAAAGAATTACAAAAAAAATTATTTGACATTCGATCCTGACAAATAAGTACTATCAAAATAAAAGTACTTTGCCACTTCACCTGAGTGATGCATAACCTGACTGCGCCATGTGTAATTGCTGCCAGATATTTTGGACATTCGGAAAGGAACTGAACTTTTCAACATTTTTTTTTATACCTTTACTTATAATATTGCGTATTTAAAGAGATTGAATGAAAATCTCGTTTGTGAAATAATTTTGAAATACTCATTTAAATGTTACATTAACGTATTATTATTAATGACCCATGTTGTAATAGTATAACCAACAATAAAAGTTTTTAGTTTTTTTTATTATTATTATTATATGCTAGGCAGCTTTTTCAAAATTTATTCTTTCATACTGACTATATATTAGTATATATCACGTATAGTTACGTGATTGTTTAGCAGTCAAAACACATTAGTGTTAAGTAATTTTATTCCTCTAGTCTATTTTAAACCTTAACTTGGTGGCTATTAAGTTTAAAACCGAATGCGGATATTTGAAATATCATCGTAATTTAATGTGCTTTCGTATTTAAAAACTATCCATGAGTTTTGGAATTAATCGCATCCAGTTAAGGTCTAGTATGCATTTCCAAAATTTATATTTACCCATCCCCTTAACAGCAATAGTAATTTCATCCTAGTTCGTACACTGATATAATTACTCCTTAAAAGCATATCTTCATTACTAAATTTAATGAATTTTGCATTCATGATTTTATACTGACAAATATGATTACTGAAAAATCCTTAAAAAATCTCCTGGTGCCCGAGACAGATGAATTTTTGTAGAATTTTTCTTTAAAAACATATTTGTATATCTTCAATAAAACTTACAGATTTCACAATTAAAAGATATTTTATTTTCTTGAATTTTGAATTGAAACTTTCATTTTATAATTTTAATGGAATATGATTAAGGGATATTATTTGTTTAATTTGTTTCGCTTTAGAAATTTCATAGAACTTTGTATAACATTAAAAGTAGTCATCTGAAAATATTGATTTAACTATTTTAAAACACACATTATGATGACAAGTTGGAAAAGTTCCTATTTCATTTTATATACCTACTGAAATGTGGTACCAGTTACACATAGTGAGCAATCTTTATAAGAAAATAAAACCTAGCAGCACATAAATAAGGTGTAAAGTTTTGTGGCATAAACAATGAAGTGTCAACTTAATAAATGTAACGGTTTAATCATTTCTTATTCATTAAATTTATCTAGTTTGTAAGACATTGACATAATATTGAAGAGAATTTTACACAAATGTCTTGAAGTGTATTTTTCTTATATTTTAATAAATCGGCTTTGAAATTGTTGATACAATTCATTTATTATATATTAATCGTACAATATGATTATTGTATTTAATCAAATGTAGTTTTAATAACGTGCGAATGGAATATTTGAACCAAATAATTTTGGTTTTTGACGTTTCATATAAAATAAAAATTGAATATTTCATTGACACATTATTGAAGATTTTTTGTTTCAAATGAATGAACGATTTTTGTATAACGATATTGAATGAAAGATTTAAAGTATTGCGTCTCACGGTTAAAGACAAATGGTACTAAATTGCATTTTTATTTTAGTAAAACAGTAACAATGATGGGCTATTTTCGAAGGATGATTGTTACATGTTAAAGGAATTTATATCTTATGTTTACGTATAATAGTGGGGAAGTTTGAATCCAATTAAATTCTGAAACTGTATGCAGTTTTTTAAAGATTGGATTAGTCAATAAGCGAGTCTTTTGAGGTCACATTAGATACGAGATGCTTTTTTTAACTCGCCAACTTAGCTCTAGTTTTTGTAACGATTAAATTGCAGCATGCATCGCGCAATTTCTTTATTGATAACTATATTATATAATTATCTCTGTGTTGTCTCCAAATAATTAGTGATTCGATAATTTAGAATAATATATACATCGGTATATATATGTATCACTGTTTATATTTTTGTCCGGTTTCTTTTTATATTGTAGATTATTTTGTAGAGGTGTACCGAGTACTTTACAAATCTAGTATTCAGTTACTCTGTCCACAGCATAACGGACTCGAGACTCGCGAAACGTGCGAGACAGAGACAGAGAGTGAGATATTGTAAGGGCATATCTCACTCTACCAGTTTCGCGAGTATCTCGATTTCGTCATGCTACGCGTGCAGTATACAAGTTTGAGGCGTGAAAAACTATTTGAATAGCTGCATTAAGTAATATGTCCAATTGGTTATACTCAATCTCTACAGCGAAGCGTGTTATTCAGGCCAATAAGAGTAGTTTGTAAATTAATGTCGAGTATCGAATAATACTCGATCACTCGGCCTATATAGCTACCATCTTCGCGTCGCCGTTTGTAAGCCTGTATATTTTTAAATATTATTCTGATACTTACGTATTTTTGCTCATTTAGAAATAATCTGATGTTTTTTCAATATTGTAAAATCTTATTTTAAGTTTGTATTCAATTTTATGTATATCCTAGTTTAATATAATTACTTTAATAAATTTATTGAAATGGCAACTATTTTGTTCTATAAAAACCATTCTAATATATTCACGCGAGTACCTAATTTCTGGAATTATGGTACACATTTTAAACGATAATTCCAGAAAATAATGGCTGATTAAAAATAAGTAACAGATTATGGTTGTAATGACCTATGTGTTTATGTAATTATGTAAATATTTAGAGCATCATAGTTTTTCTACTTTGACAGTAGTGATGTGTAGGCATGATAAAAATCGTTAATATACGTGTCAGCTTATCTTAAAATTCATCGATATATGTAATATTACAATAAAAAGAGCGACATAGATATAATTTAGGCTGAGAAGGCACATTTCGAAGTGTAAATATGAGAATTTTTCAGATGTCGGTTTATTTTTTTATGAAATTGTGATTAAAATAATAAGCCTTGACTGGTGTCAGAAGTGGTATTGTATCCACAGAAATTTCAATAATAAAAGATTACTTTTTGACTGTGTGTTTATTTTATAATTTAATTAGCTTTCCGCCAGCGACTTCATCTTGTGGTTCCATATTGTACTTATCAATCTGCCTCTTGAATCACCTTTTATATTGATAAAAACCACATTAAAAACCATTGTGTTGTTTAAAAAATCAGAGTGCAAGCACTTTTTAGTAGTTTTTAAACAAAATCATAATCAATCTTTCATTTTTATTTTAGTGATTTTTTTATTATTTTTATTTATACGCCGTAATAAATAAACAAATATTTATTTTACTATACAATAAGCTATGCTAAATAATTTACAGTATTTACAAATAGTCATCATTCACTGTCCGGTTTCTTTCGTCCAAATGGATCTGTCCACACCTTCATATCTGTAACAAAAAATATATACGTAAGATAAAAAGATTGACAAGACATTTCCTATTATAACACAAGAAAGGCATTAGTAAGGGTATGTTCCAATATACACTGCGAGCACTGCGCAGTGGTCTTACTGCTGAAAAATCCGTTCCGTTATGGACTGCTACAGTACCCTAGGGAAATTCATGACGTCATAAATTGCCGCCATATTTGTACTGTGAGCACTGGAGATATCGAGGTAAGGTGCTCGCAGTACTTTTGATCGCGTGATCAGTCGAAACAGAATCAGAAAATGATAAGTTTCTAAATAAACAAAAAAAAATACTAACGTTTATTATAAGATGGATAAATAATTTTTTTATACAATTTTCCAATTTTATAATATTTTCTTTTGAAAAGAGGGAATCTTTAAAATTATATTCACCTTGCATTAACAAATTTGAAAATGGCGCCAAAAAATAGGATTAACAGTATACTGGACTGCGTTCCGTTTTAAAAACTCACCAGTATAACTAGCTATAAAGGAACGGGCTTCCAGTATACTAAATTGACGTCATACTGTTCAGTGGTCGCAGTGTATATCGGAACATACCCTAAATCAAGCAAGCACTCCGTAAAATGCATTTAAGCCCAAAATGTATGTCTCTTTTTACCCGACTGCATGACGCAAAGGAGGGTAATGTGTTTATCAGTCTATATATATGTATGTTTCTATGTGGCGTTCTAGAGACCAAATGCGTAGGCCGATTTTGGTGATTCTTACGTCAATCGATTCGTCTTAACCTTGTGAGTGTCACTAAAGACATGATTGTAATCAAAATTCACCACAGCGACAACCAGACGCCATATTGTCAAAATGAAAAAAATATCGATGAACTATGTCAAGTGGGGTGTCCTTGAATAGGTATTTTAAAATCATTTTTTAAAATGTTCGTTTTCTTATTTTTCATTTTAAATAATATATAACGATTTAAAGTTGTTTAACAAAACATTCTTGTTAATTTTCTTATTTATTGATTTAAGTTTTTATTTAAAGTATAAACGACATACAGAATTCTAAACAGGGCTTGTTTCTTTCTTTTTAGTTTTTATTTAATTTAATTTTTTCATATTTGTTTTTATGCAGTTGGGATTTTTGTTTTTCTTTAAATTATTTTTAAACAATACTAAATATAAAGAGTTATTTGAAGAAAAGAATACCAAATTATCAACTAAATTGATGAATTTAATATAAAATAGTTATAATAATGTTTCATCAATTTGCATTCTTTATGCTATTGAATTGATCTTAAAGAAAATAATTGATTCTAATAACCTTTTCTTTATATAAATAAAATGCTTATTCAGAGCTATACTCACTTCCAGGTTGAATGTCCTCTTGTCTAATATTCTTTCTACCTTCCTTCTGCAACTTTTCTAAAATACAAATAAACATTGAACTCATAAATATACTGTCAAAGATACATGATTCCTGTGGAAAGCTGATCATAATTCAAATTGCAGCTTAGGTATCATAAGTGGGTAACTAGAAATCAGAGTTGGAGGCTGAAACACAGACATGGAAATTTCCAATGCCTTACAATCCAATAATCAGTACTAGTACTAGCTAAGAAA